CTTTCCTCCTGCAGTCAGCATCATTGCGTGTGTTTTGTGAGATGGAGGAGGACTTTGTGGATTGGTGTCGGACATATGGGTTAATGTTGGACTTGTGGGCTTGGGCATCACTGGTTGGGATGTGTTCCTGATGTGCACTTACCCTTTACATAAAACTCTCTCTTATTTCTGTGGATTGGTTTCTCTAATGTACCCAGACCACCACACCCAGTTTCCAGAGCTAGATCCCCAGGCCTTACCTGTTGGCTATCTTAGTTCATCAACTCCACGGAAACCTGTCCAGGCTGCTGAGATTTGAAATACGAGTGGCCAAGCTGCCAGCGTCACCGCAAGGCGCTAGCGATCACAGTCTGAGAAACCAACGGAAGGGTGCTGGGTGGGGCAGACAGAAGCAGACTCATGGGGAGGCCTGGGGGTGGGTGGAGAAGGGGGAAGCCAGGTGACGCCTAGATGGTCCTTTGAATCACGTGACGTAGCTGTAAAATTAGGCAAATGAGGAGGGCGAGCTAGTCCTTCTAGACCAGTGGGCTGGAGGCAGGCAGCCAGGGCAGCGCTGGAGGGTGGGTCTCTGTGATGGGGCGTCCGGACCCACGGTGCTGTGTTGAGTATTGGGTCATTTTTACCCCAAGCACCGGCAGGCCAGGTACGCTCCAATGAAGCTGAAGGCTTAGAATCTAAACCGGCCATGTCGGCATCCTGCCCTAAATGACTCTGGGGACCAGCCATGAACCGATGTCTTAGAATGCAGCGTTGTGAGGCAGCAGCAACATCTGTCCACTTCTAATTTCACCGCAGACGGCCTCTCTTCTGACCCCAGGACCCTCTGAGCTCCTGGAAGAGGAGCCCTGCCTCTAGCACCTTTGGGATCCCTCCAAGCCCCCTCCTGGGCTGGCCGTGGAGAACAATGGCTGTCAGCAACCGCTCCCTGCTTGAGGGCTCCATTAGTCCGGCCTCTGTTTCTGGAAAGAGGTTTACCTGACATGAGGAGGTCGTGACCCCACAAAAGCAGACAGATCCACAAAACACCAACTCAATTTCCAGTCAGTGGTGCCCCCAGGTGGGTGGAGTAGAACTGCCCCCCTGGGGTTTCCATGGCTATGACCTCTCGGAAGTACATAGCTAGGCCTCTCTTTGGAAGTGCCTCCAGGTAGGTTTGAACTGCCAATGCTTCCATTAGTGATTGAGCATTGAACCGTTTGCACCACTCAGGGATGCCTTGGGATGTGCGCGCGCATGCGCACACACACACACACACACACACCACTCACTGCCTTCAAGTCAGTTCCGACTCCTGGCGACCCTACAGGACAGGGGCGAACTGCCCCTCCAGGTTTCCAGGACTGTAACGCTTTACGGGAGTAGAAAGCCTCATCGTTCTCCCTTGGATGGGCTGCTAGTTTCTAACTGCTGACCTCACCATCCTAGCCCACTGTGCCGCCTGGGCTTCTTTGGTATTCAGTAGGCGCTCAATGCAGGGCAATGCTCTCCTCTCGGCGGTGAGGGTGTGGGTGCTGGCGTCCTGGGACCTGCTCTCTGCGCCTTTCTTTCCCCCCCAACAAGAGTGGAAGGAGCGTTGGATTCCCTCTCGGGGTTCGAATCGCATGGACAGTGCTGTGGAGAGCACAGGTGTGATCATGCTAGGCGCTCTTGGGACACGAGGGTGAACATCAGAAACGGTGCCCTTTCTGGGACATGGGGATCCCAGACAGCTGCCTCCTTGGCACCGTTATGGACTGTCTTGTGCCTTGTGCTGAGCGTCTTGCTTTGATGCGTTTGGAGGAAGCGGCATTCAAGATAGAAACAGATGCCGCTGCAGAGGACGGCCTTTCTGGTCTCGCTCACCCCCGACTCAAGTGGAGAGGAGATCGGTTCGTTTCGACAGCGCCTTCCGCGCTGCCTGCCTTGAAAGTGCCATGTGGGAACCTCACTTCTTTCCCGTGGCCCCGAGGCACCGACGGTGAGCCTGTTTGGAGACTGGGTCAAGTCACTTGTCTAAGGACACGGGGCAGCCCATGCTGGGTGCCACGTGTGTGTGCTGGTGGTAGTGCCGCTAAGTTGGCTCTGACTCACAGCACAGTAGAATAAACACTGCCCTGCGGGGTCCCACATCATCCTCACGACAGTCATTATGTTTGAGCCCATTGTTGCAGCCACTGTGTCAAGCAGGCCCCTTGCTGGGCTCTGGGCTCTCCTGATAACGGGCCTCAAGTACATAGACTTAACTAGAGTCCTGCCCGCCGCTCCTTCGCCAATCTGAAGGACCGTGTAAATGGAGGAGGAATGATAATAAGATTAATAGCTGTTATGGATTCGGTACCTCCTACGAGCCACGGCCACCACTCTCTTATCTGTCAATTTGTCACACTGCGGGGATGTGCCTCTTTCTGTATCGCTGGAAGCTATGCCACCGATACTTCAAACACCAGCAAAAAGCTGTCACGTGCAGGACCAAGTGCTCCTGACCTGAGCCGCGCTCTTTCCAACGGCAAAAGGAAGACGGCGGAGGAT